GACTTCTCTTGCTTGAAAGCCCTGGCACGCTCAGCTGGCAGTTTGAGAAGGCAGTGCTTAGGTGCCTCTGTACAGGTGCATCTGCAGCCGGATTCCTCTGGGGACAGATGCAGCCAAAGAAATATATTGCTAAAGCTTAGCTCAACGCAGCATATGAGGCCCAACTGTACAGTAGGCGCTAGATAACATGCAATCATGGCCTCCTACTGCAGCAAATGCTATATAAACCCAGGCCTTTCAGAAAGAAGTAGTAAAAAAAATGTGTTTTTCTCATTCCTTATCTGTACCTACTCCATTTTACCTAAGGCTGGCTATTAGCTCAGCTGGTGATGTCACTTACTTCACTGGAACCTGTTATCATGGAAGATTTCTCACAGGATTTTCTATTCCGTTAGCTTTGCGCTTTGTGCAATGTTGTATTTCATTCCATTAGATAAAGGGTTAAGTAATTCACGTTTTACCCATATAGACTAAGTTATACTCCCTGTGGGTTGCTGGCTTCCTATTGGCTAGAACGATGACCTTGGAAACAGACAAAAATGATGCATTGTTGCAATAAATATTATAGCTTGCACCTGTTTCTAATTAAGTCTGCCAAACAATTTCAGAGATACTGAAAAGAGAAATGTGTTGGCTTCTAATCGGGTGTTCTTTGCTGTTTGATCTCGATTATTCAGCCCCTTACATGACCTAGCTTTCTTAGTTCTTGTTTTTCTTTTTCTTTTTGGACTTGTAGAAAGCACTAGATTTAAAGAAGTCTTCTCAAAGAGGAACATCTCTGCCTAAAATCAGCTATAACTAGAAGCTGAAGATTAATGAATTTATACCAGGGCACAAAGTAGTTTATGGCAGGATACCTCAGGAATCTCCAGTGTGGCTCCTTGGCTTCATAGGTCTCTTGTGGTCTTCTGCTTCACTTCCTTCTCCTCTCTTCTCTTTTAAACTTCAGAGCTTAAAACAACCTCTAGCTACTAGGAATCAGCATCAGGCTGACTGGGAAGCTGGGGGCTTTTGCAACTAGACTTCAACATGCCAGGCAAATAGTTCAGGAAGGACTTTCCCACTAACGCTCACCAAAGAAATGTAAACAGAGCAGTGGTCACCTTCACATTTCTGAGTTAATGACACTGGGAACATTCTGGAAATTGTTACCTATCAGAACCATTGCTTTAGGGCAGGTACAGATTCAGGAAGAGAACAGCAAAGGCTTCACAGACAGGCTGTGGTTCGCAGTTCAGCATCACACTTCTCACTCACTGTACTGAGTCCCAAGTTCTTCTCCCACTGAAAGCACTTCCTGGAGAAATGAATGATTTGTTTCTTGCACATCTACCTACCCAAGCTGTGCACAGTTTGCAGAGATTTAACAGCTGCTCTGTGATCTAGCTCTATGGACAAACGCAAACATATGTGGCAAATGTTGACAATGTTTTCCTTAATATAAGAAGTAAAGAAATAAGGAATTACTATTATCTTCATTTTCTAAATGGGGACTGGAAGCCACAGCTCAGCCAACACTTTTGGCTGTCAATAACAGCAGCAGTCCAGTCCCTTCGGTCCCTATGGGGTCTCTTTTCTCACGCTGGGATAAGCATTTGTGCATCTGTATTTTGGAACTGATTGAGGAACTTATCCATCTGAAAACTAATCCGGGGAGAAAAAAAAAAAAAGAGTTTTTATTTCAGCCACATCGACTTCCCACAGTTTGCCCACAGCCTGGCAGGGCAGAACTGCACAGCTAGGACAGGGGGAGTCCAAGGCAATATTTTTGGATGGAATTGCAAGAAATCATAGAAGTAGCACATAGTGACATCAAGAAGACAATGCAGGTCTCCAGAATTCACAAACACTTCCTCTGTTGTAAATGTCATCAACCTCACAATTAGCAAAGATTTGCTAGCTGTGTACCAATCCTCTGAGCTACCCAAAGTTTCTCATGTGTAGACAATGTATCTCAAAAGTATCATGTTTGGTGGAATTAAATGACCTTCTGCTCAGTTAAAAATTAAATGTCTTGGGGTGGAGGTTGCAAAGGGGTTATTTTAGTTGCCACACTAAAGAAGGTAGGATCAGACAGGTTAAAAATAAGCCTAGACACAAAGAAGATACGTTATGGGAACAGAATAGCTTAGCCTGTGCGATGTGATGAAGCCCTGCATCAGTATTATGGCAAGAGTTTTGTTCAGGAGGAGGGACAGAACTACAGAGATATTTTGCAGGGTTAGCACATCTTCCTCTGGGTGATACGCTCTCACTTTTCCACTTTTCCTTCAATGGCAGGTAATAAAATGCCTGCTGGTACCCCCCATGACTGGAGGTACCTAGAGTGGTTCAGCCCATCGTGAGTGCTGTGCCAATCATTTAACAATTCCCACAGCTGCCTTTGTGAGAAGCCTCTCTCTTAAGCCTCTGGTTTAAGAATTTAGAGTAATCATGTAAAAATGATACCCCTGTGCTCTATGATCCGCTGAATCTCACTAATGCCGGATCCCAGAAGAGGGCTTATTAATGAAAAGATGCAATGCCTCTCTCTCTGCTCATGTTTCACATGAATATCTCTCATGGATTCGGCAGTAAACCTTACTGCTGATAAAGTAAGTATAATGAACCTCCGTGCTCCACGAGAATGAAATCTCAGACTGATGAAGTAGTTACCTGCTCTACTTCCCAGCACAACGGCTGGCTTGAGAAGTACAAGGAGAAGCACTCGCCTGCCATGGGAATAGTGGTGCAGTATCACAACCTCCTAAATCTTGGGTCTGATTCGCTACTGATGCCTTTGGCTGCCTGAAAAGATCAAGAGTTTGGAAGGGAGCAGTTTGTAATTAGCTGCGAGAAATGAAATTATGCTTTATTGTAAATCACTGAGTCAACAGAAGAAAGGAGGTTTTTAAAGGGACAGCAACACCTTGAGGCTACTCTGTGTCCTTTCAACATTACACAGTAGTCAAAAAGCCAGTCAACTCTTGCCAGTTGGCCAGCTTCTCAGAAAGGACAAGCACCAAGTGTTCTGCAAACAGCAGGATCCTGCTGCTTCCAGCCCCTGACATCCAACCAATTTTCAAGAAGGCACTGAAAATACTTTCAAGTACTGCCTCTGTCCTGAAGCTCCTTTGCTAATGGCAGCAGATTTTGCCATCAAGAGTTTCAAATTGTTATAAATCTTTTTGCTGTAGCTTTTTGAAAACAAACAAATATACAAACGACACCAAAGAAAAACCCCACACTAACATGAAGAAAGGCTGGTTCCATGTCTCTCCATGGGGAAAGAAAGCAAGTGACTACCCAAAAAGCGTAGGCGGCATTCAATCGGTCTCTATATTAATTTGAGGCACTCAGTGATTTATGTTTTCCATTAAAACAAACACATGCCTTATAAATTACCCCTAATTTCAGCATCAGCAGCATGGTATAGGACAAGCAACAAGAGTCAGGAGGTGTCACTCTGGAGTATCCCAAAACAACCACAGAAACTAGCTTTAAGTCCAGCAACCAGACCATATCTGCTCAGTGCACCTCTGATACCCGCATCATGTCTCATCTTTACAAAGCCAGCCCCATGTAACCAAATCCAAATTCCTTAAACCTTTGTGAGGCGCAAATCTGAATACGGAAAATTATCGCAGAGATCATAGCACTGAAGAGTGCATATAATCCCATCTCAAACACTGGTGACTGTTCTCTGCAGGTCTATTCAATGATTTAAACAACCCATGAAAACGTTTGTATCATCCCTCACTTCAAGGGGATTCTCTGGTTAGAGGGAACTGAAGCACCCTGAAATTCTGTGGAACCTTAAAGCACGGGCTGCATTTCATATTAGCAGCTTGGGTATAACTCCTGGTATTATTAATACCTAAATGCCCTATATGTTGTCTTTAGAGAGGAAGGCAGCCACACCACCTTTATATGTGTGCTTTCTTCCCTTTGCTTTTACATTTCTTCAACACGCAAAATGTACTTAACTCACTGCTTATTGAATGAAGGATTAGTATTATTTTCCTTCCTCCAGTGAACTTTGTTTCACTTCATCCTGCATATATTTTGCTAGGCTGTGTTTTCCTGCCAGCACACCACTGTTCAGCAAACTACCGTACTTAAGGCCAGCCAGCTAATACAGTGATACCTTTTTACTCACAAGGAGTGTTTCTGTAATCATGGCTGTGCTTGTGGTATGAATGACAGCTTACACCAAGAAGCACAAAATGCACTTCCAGAAGCTTTGCCTAGCTGGGACAGAACTAAAGCAGCTTCAAACTGCCAAGACATTTGAAACATCTAGGGGAAGACATATTTTGAAACGTAGCTACTCTGCTAGCATAAATGTTGACAAGGGACAGTGAAGGGAGCTACTTCCCCCCATCCTCCTTCTACTGTGCTGCTGTATCTCATGTTGAGCTAGACTGGGAGCACTTGGAAAAATGCCCTGCTTTGGGTCCTGTAAAAATTAGTGTACACAAATGTGTAACAAATTTGCAATGGCTCTGTATAAGGTTTACTGTCTCTTTTTCTGTTAAAATTGGTTACGTTGCCCAGTAGGAAAACAAGCAGAAGAGGAAAGTATCTTTACAACTCACTATGCTCTTAGAAGACCAGACTGGAAGTTCCTGTTCACACCACCGCAGCAATGCAGACCTCTCTGGTGGAAGTATTTTCTTTTTCTTGCAGAATTATACCTCACGTCCTGCTAGGTAGTTACTCTCTTTGTTCCTGTGAGCCAAGCTAGTTGCAAGATCATGCTATGCCATGCTTATAACATCACACTAAAAAGAAGGAGATTACAAAGGGGGCAAAATACCCTAGAGGGTTCCCCTTTATCAGAACCTTCCCTGTCAGTTTGCCTTCTCATTTCCTGAGCTCTTGTCTGATTATTAGTGTACTGACAGAATAAAAATAACCTCATATTCCTACATGAATCATAAATAAAACCCTTTTATTTCATCAAAGAGGTTGGCAGGTTTATAGTCCTTTGCAATGCATGCACGATGTGAATGACATACCTTTAATTTTGCTGACAAGCTTGTCGGGGTCCTAATGAAAAAGAGTGAAAAGTGGGTGACTTCTCTAAAGGTTTAGCAGTTGCTTTTTGGTGAGGATATATATTTCACCTTGCCACTGTAATCAAGGAGCCAACTGATCTTGGTAATGAACTCTTCAATTACAGTCCACTTCTGACTCTTCAAGAATGCCTAGGCAACAATACCACAGTGATTATTGCTGATATTATAGATTAAAGTAACCTGGGGAAAAAAAGAAGAGGGGAAAGAAAAAAGAAAACCCAAGTTATGTTCTTGCTAGAGCTTTAGGTATCAGGGTGCATCAGCAATGAACCAAAAAGAGTGATCAAATTCCAGATTTTGAACAGCTAGATTTTGTATTGCTGTTGTACACCAGGCAAAAATAAAATCACTACTCTCAACTGTATTTTGACATTATGTATTCCTCTCCATTTATTCAACTAGCCAGTTTACTTTTGGAAACCAGTATTGAATATGGTAGAGGTTATCTTGGGACAGCCTCATAAAAAAGAAAATAATGCAAATGTATTTCTTTAATTGTCTCTGCAAGCAAGTTTCCTGATCAGGGTCGCACAAAGAAATAGTCCAGAAACACAAAAAATGGACACAGTACAATCAATCAGAAAATCTTCCCTATTTCCAGTCTTTCACAGAGTGAAAAGTTTAATTGCTCACAAAGAGGGAGGCAAACAGCTAAAGATACATATTTTTATCAGTGATGAAAGCGCTTTCCCCTTCTTCAACACATCCTCTCTGTTTTCCTTTTACCGTCTCCTATTTCGCTCATGTGAAAACCAGAACACTGGCCCCTAAGTTTGCTTTCTGACCACAAACAAATTGTCAAAGCCACGAGCCTTCTCCCTTTCATAAAAGAAGTCATGTTTTTTCAGAAATGTCCCAGGTCTTCACCCGTAATTCAGAAAGAGATCAAGGAAAAAGGACAGCTTTATTTGATATCTTGGAGATTATTCTTTGTTTTGCTGGTGATTCCTTTCTTCAGCTATAACTCATCAGAGAAAAGTTTGGGATTTGGCAAGTTAACCCAGCCTGATTGCTGCCCTATTTTGGTAGGGTTTTTTTCCATTTTGGTGGAGTGTTTAGATGTGGGGCTGCTGAGAGAGAAAATGAGAGACACACAACAAGGTTATCTGGCTGGAGAAACAAGCAGGGGTTGTGTGTGCAGGATTGTGTGTGCATGGGGAGATGGGGCAGAAAAAGGGAAAAAATAATGAACAGCGAATTCCAGATTGCTATCTTGTCAGGATTTTACAAGATTCCAGAGCTGCACTTTTAATTTTCATTACTTTCCATTTCCCTTTGATAAACTCAGAAGCAGTATCTAATTTTATTAGCAGCTTTTCATCAAATGTGGATATCTTCCTTCCTCGAGGGATTCCCTAGCCACAAAAACATCAGGTTCTGTGAAACATTAGCTAATCCCAGTTAGAGTTACTTGACCCTATCAAGCTAAGAAATAAATTCTACTCTTCATGAGAGTCCTACTGTTTACACTCCAGACAAAATTCTTAGATCTCCAAGTTTTCAGAGAAAAAACATTTTTCATAATGCCAGAAAACTGGCCTTAAAGACCTGGGCCATACAAGCCTGAAACTGCTTCTTGTTTCAAATTAAATACGTTGACAGACTTCCTCTTGACACCCGTGCCTGATTTTCTTGGCATAAAATCCAAATGGGTAACGGTAGGAGCCATTACTGGCAACATCCAGTCCTATAATCTACACATCACTACTTCTTGCCCTCAACCTTCCCCCGTGTGGCTGCACACAGAGGGAGGCTGCCAAGAATCAAAGCACTTCTCCCGTTCAGTGCAGACAACACACACTTCAACAAGAAGCTCAAAGTTTGGTGAACCTCTTACAGCAAGTGTTTGTGTGGTGCATGACCACGCAAGCCACTGTGGCACGGCTGGGCGAGCAAAGCAGGAGCAGGGAAGCAGGAAGGTGCTGTGAGCAGCCATCAACATGGCACACAGCAAATGCAGAAAATTTGGGGATGCATTCAGAGCCGACACAGAGCAAAGCACACGCTCCAAACCCAAAAGGCCAGAATCTTTCCAAAGCTGTTTTGCTCCACTAACACGTTTAACAGTTAGAATCATCCCAGGCATATTAACTTGGTATATTACAAGTATAATGTGTCACACCATGTTTTAAAACATAATACAGCTTATTTTAAAGGTGAAATGGAATGTGGTTTGAACTTAGCGCCTTGCTCAATCAGCAAAACCCCAGTGCTTTGGAAAACAGGAGGTCAGCCACTCTGGCTGTAGCAGTGTTACTTGTGCATCTGTTTGCAATGAAAGGTCTTGCTAGAAAAGGTTAAGAAAAGACTCATATACTTCAAAATTATCAGTTCGTTATCACTATTAATACTACTTTATAGTACTTAACATGCTACTTTTCATCTTCAAAGCACTTTGCAAATATTAATTAACCCTCACAATCTGCTTGTGGGGTAAGCAAATGGTGTTGCTCTCAGCAGTTAAGTCACAGGGTTAACTGACTTGGCCAAGTCTAGAGGGTCAGGATCAGCCTCCACACATCCTCTTCTGATGCTTAAAATACTGAAACACAGTGTTTCTCCTTCTCTTAGATGAGACGGTGGACGTGCGCCACTTTTATACACGAGATATTTTCTAAAAGCATTGGCTTCAACGGATAACTGCAACTTCAGCTGCTTGCACAAGGCTGCAGTTTTCTCCCTTCCCACATACTTCTACATTGACGCAAGATGTGGACAATTATCACCTAATAATTAAAGGACTAGGTTCATGCAGGAGCTTCTAGCTGATTTCTAAAACTACTCCCCAAACCCTGCTTTGCTGTGGAGAATCATGTATGTGTGCACAAAAGTGATCAGTTACAGCTTAAAGAAGTAGCCAACTTCTTTAAAGATTTAACAGGTCACCATCACTTGAGACATAACTAAAATGAAGTGCTTCACTGAAAGCAGTGGTGGTGCTGAAAGCACATTGGTGTTGACTAATTAGCCTAATGTTGTTTTTTTTTAACTTGTGGGCTTGAGTTTGTTTGTTTTGTTTTCAAACAATTTGCAATACTTTAAGTGCTAACTAACAAAGGTTTAGAGGAAAGAAGGACAGGCCCATGATGTGGTTTTATTTGTCCATGCTTCTTTGAGTTGGTAAATCACACTGCTTTGCTTTATTGAGTGTCCCTTTAGGAGTATATTGGAAAAAATTCTATCTGCCACAATTAATACAGTGCCTAGTGCATCACGCGGCACAACCCTGGCGTCGAAACTCAGCATTCTCTGGGAGTCCTTTGGTCCCACACTGGATGCCAGAAAGGATAGTAGCTGTGACATGTGATACAGCTGCTGATAAATGATGGTGATAATGCAGAACAAAAAGGCTAATGAGTTCTCTCCAACACCACACTACTTCCATGAAATGAATGTGATGATGACCCTATTTGCTACTTTTTTTTCTTTTTGGCCAGTGAGTTACTTATCCCTTTACCTGCATGTTAGTTTTATCTTCTCGCTACAATGCTATGTAAAGACAGTCAAAATTAATGTCAGCATCTCCCTTCACTTTTAAACTATAAAAGAGCCTTCGAAGGTAGAGTAAACCAAAGAGGCCAGTAACTAATTATAACTCATTGTACTGGACTTTGAGAAATAATGAATAGAAGCTATTCCTCCTGTGCTTACCAGAGTGCTTTGCAGAGACAGTGGTGCCTTTGTGGGAAAGGGAGATCCCTTCACTGGACCAAAGAGAGAAGAAATGGAATTGTTAACGTATGTAAGAGGCAGGAGGATTTCTATGGTACTATTTCATTGCAGAGGCAGAAGGTAGCAGAGCCAATCATGAAAAGCGTAAAGGTGTGAAGGCACAAAGATGGAGAGTTGATTAAAAGCACCGTGGGGAGCGTGAGCGAACAAATCAATGGTAATGATGGAATTATGGCTGAGCGGAACCCAATAGTCTACTGTGTCCTGGTGACTTGGCGCTGGGGATTACACGTTGTGAGAAGCAGAGCCAAGCCCTTGTCCAGCCTGTTGGCACTTGGAGATACGGTGATTGATGGGACAGGTTATGTTACAAAACTGGGTGAGGTCTCTTGAGTAACAACGAAGCTCAACATAAGCACCTCTGCACCCTAGTGAGATGTGATGGCTGAATCCTGCCCAACCAGGAGCTGGGGTGGAGCAGCAGCAGTGTTGAGAGAGATGCCAGTCACGGTTGTCACGCCTGGGAGAGTGGGACAGGGCTCATCTGGGGAAGCAGGAGGATGAAGGAAGAAAAGGTAAAAGATGAGAGAAGGGGCCCTGAGGGTGCTCAGTGAGGTTAGAGGTAGCACCTGGCAGGGAGGCGGGAGAGGGGAGCTGGGAGGCTCACAGCGGTGGGGGAGAGAGAAGCAGCAGCAGCACTGGTGGCACCGTGGGACGGTCAGGCAGGGGCTTGGAGGAGCAGGTGGGAGCTGAGGGAACACAGATCAGAGCTGGCTGTGAAGGTGTTGAGAGAAAGGCCTGGAGCAGCCTGGAGGGAGGGAAGAGAGGATTGGAGCAGCTGGTAAGATCAATGCGGGACCAGCTCTAGCTGGGGTAGCAGTGGCTTAGGGCTGCCAGCACTCACCAGTGCTCGCTGAGCTTGGCCTGCACTTACAGCCACCACCACATCCAGCATGTTAGTACCCAAAGTACAACAGAATCTGCCTTAATGGTAGTACCTCTATGAGCAGTCTTACACAAATAGAGCATTATTTTCCTTCTCATTGCTATTTCAGGGATTCCTCTGCTGGCACGAGGCATGCATCTTTACATATGTGCCAGTACATCCCGGATGCCCCTATCACTATGGCACCAGGACCACGGACGGATGAGCACACAGCCCCTGACTGGTTGTTGCTGTGGGTCACTGTGGTGAAGCAGCACAAGGCAAGGATGCTTTCTGTCGCTGTGTGAAAAGGCACTTTGCAGAAGGAAACATCCAGGCTGCTCCCAACACTTAGCGATCTCACCACTTGCTTTTGTAGTTGGTGACATCAGGAGGAAGGGCCCGGAGCCACTTTGCCTGCCCCAAGTTGGTCAATACAGCACTGCCAGGATGGCAACTGCGATGGATGGATGGATGGATGGGATGAGTAAATAGATGATGCCAATCAAGATAGACAGAGAATGCTGAAAGATATACACAAGGGATGAAATTATGACTGTGCTGTAACACTAAGCAACCCTGAGATTTTATCTCTGATGGCTTTAGCCATGTCACCCCAGAGCCAATTGCAAAGGCAGCACTGCCCATACGAGGAATGCAACGGGGCAATTTGACCTCAGGCCTCACCTGACAGGCGATCCTTCCACACCACTGACAGAGCCAGACCTTCAGCAAATGCAATGTGGCCATACCTGGCCTTTTGGCATGAACTCACGGTGAAATAATTGAAAGCTAAACATTTTCAAAATCAAGTATTTGCCAAGTGGTGAAACAGGCTGCTGCACCCAGAGGGAAGCTGTTCCTAGGTGGCCTCAGTCAGTTCAGATTGTGCATGCAGCTGGGACGACTGCAGTGGCCTCAGTTAAGAGACCTTCAGATTGCTGGAGTCCACTTGTGCTCTCAGCAGTCAGGCCAGCTAGGTAGAAAAGAGCAAATTTTAGTTATCCAGAGCCCTGATCTCCAGAAATAAAACTCTTGAGAAGAAGGAAAAGATAAAGATTCACAAGTAGAAAATGCAAATTCTTTCCAAATGGTCTTAATGAAGATTACTTAAATAGGGACAGTTAAAATATCCCATATGTTAGCTTCCTACATACAGGCAGGTATATATTTCTTGTACAGGGTCACGCCTGAGCACAAAGTAATAAAATAATAAAGAGGGGAGCTCAACACTGGAAAGTAAGAATCTTTGCTCTTTCCTAGTAGTAGTGGGTAAAAAGCCTGAAAGGAAAGTATGAGGCTCAGAACTGGCCTTAAGCATGTGTCCCTGGACAGGACCATTCTCCAGTTATGTTTCTTCCACTCCTGAAAGCAGCAAGCAGATCTAGATACAGCACAAATATTAAACATAAATACAACACGTTCCAGTACAGACCCTTCACTAAAACAAGTCCTAGAGCAAAGCTATCTCTTCCTGTTGATGACAATGCAAAGGACTTCAGCATAATAGTATTTACTCAGTTAAATGAGAGCTGTAATGCACTTCAGCCTTAGAAACAAAACTTGAACTATTTAAGTGTACCGTTTTCAAACCTGAGGATTTATTTGCATGTGGCTGTTGACTTCAGTGGGAGTCACTGCTGCAATCAAATACACTGCTCTGAAAGCCTTCTCAGCAGGTGAAAAGGCCACATTGCATTTAATGGAAAATGAGGTCCTTTTGCTTTAAGCTCAGGCAGAACACAGACCAAGGAAGTGCAGACAGTTTAGATACAAAAATGAAGTAAAAACACATCCAAACTTTGCAGGTTTTAACTTTCCAGAGTCAAACTATATCTAGAAATACAGCAACAATTTGATTGCCCAATCAAGAACCATAAGTTAGAGAAATCCCAAGAGAATTTCGTGAGATTGACAGTTTAGCACTATCTAGGACTCATGAGCTGAGCTTCAGATGCATTTGGCCATTTATCAACTTGGTTGCCTTATGCAAGTCACTTCACCATCTTTTACCTCACTTCCCTCCAGTAAATTTGGAATGAATATATTCATCCTCTTGGACATCACTGGATGAGAATTAAGTATTATTATTATTAGGTACACTCATACAAATGGGTGATGCTAAGTTGGTAAGTAACATGTCTTGTCTAGTACAGAACATTTTTTTTGCACATAAGAGTGCTGGGAAGTTTTAATAAGCACCTTGACTTCTGCCTTCATACCAGTGAGAGTCACCCACTTGCTTAAAGAGTTTTTTGCTATTTATTTTTTTTTTTAATATATGATTGAGCCTTTCAGTTAGAGTAAGCACCTCTAGTTAAACTCTTATGGTCACATTTGTTCCAACCTCAACTCCCCCCAGTCTGAGAAACTACTCTTTCCCAGGATTAAGTTTTCTTTAAAAATGTCATGTGGTAATCCTCTTTCTAGTAAAGACTGTACAACTGTCTTAATCTTTGCCCATGTATGGAACACACATTAAAAAAAACACCTTTGTTTTTGTATATCCAGCAACTTTAGAACACAGGAATTAGTAAACAGAGGGCTAATAATTTGTTTTCCATTGACAAGCAGTGAAGGAGTTAATTATCTGCTTCTTTTCACTAATTCTGTTGCAGAGCTTGGTTCTGCATATTAAATGTCCAAGTTACCAGATTCAAAGAAAATCTTGATCTCAATTTGGCTACATATTAAAAGTGCCATTCCCTGTTGTCCTACCTAGCACTGTTAATTGCATACATTTAGCCCTCTATTGGAGAATAATTTAGCTTCAGATTGAAAAGAAACAGCCCTGGCCTTGGTTATTTTGGCATACAAGTCTCCAGTATGACTCTGTTTTCTAAGCAGACATTAATGATTCTAAAACTAATATCCATTGTTTGAAGAGGCATAGCGGCCTTGGCATTTACTTAACCTTTTGTCTCATGTATGAGACTGAGTCAGCCTAAATCCTTTTCTTAATTAATATCTATTCTTTTTTTTTTTTTTTCTGTCCAACATTATTTATTAAACAATTTGCATGCAACAATTAGAGTTGAGAGATTAAAAAAACATCACTGTATGTGCAAGCTTGCTTAGCACAACAACGACCATGAAACTGGTCCTCCAGCTCAAACAAAGCTCAGAGCATGAATGAGAAGGGAACGGGAAGTAAGTAAGGTCAAGTAAAAAAATCGAAACCCACGTTGCTTCACCTGTTAGCCCTAATATTGAGCTACTCTACTCCCTACTAAAAAAATAACAATTCTAGCATAAAACCCAAGGATACAACACTTCTAGTGAATGCCCGTGATGATAGTTACGGTTGTGAATAAAGTACAATCACAGAACCTTTTTGCTTATTGCTGTAGTAGAAAGAAATTATTATTTCAGATTCCTTTGTGTTTCACAGGACAGTACTGTGTGCTCCATATGAACTCTCTCAACTGGAGCTCACCTACTTTTCCAACGTTTGCTCCTTTATACTTCTTTGCACCTTTGTGATTGCAACCACTTTGCACACTGAGGGTGCAACAAAAGACCCTTCTGAATGTCCAGACCAACATAGAAAATGGCAAGGACAGCTTTGGCAGCTAAAATTAAAAAAAAAAAATAATTGGGGTTGAGAACCAGAAGGCAGCTGTCTTGCATATAAATGCAATGGAAGCAAAGACTCGAGCATCTTTCCTCAAGTATTCTTACAGCTAGTAGCTATGGGTAATCACAGATGCTTTGCTCAGTGGGTTGACTGCCTGCAAGATGAGTGACTGAATCACCTTCTGTATCTTACCAGGGTTGGATGACAAACCAGACCTACATGAAAAATTATAATGCTCTCCAGACTTCGAAGTCATAAGCAACATGGATGTGTTAATATGAGCCATATCTTGCATCCATTAGAAGACCCACAGGAATAAGATTCATTCTAGGTGTTGGCATCGATGTCATCCTAAATCTTGTATTAGCCAATGATCCTCAATCTCTAATGCTCTTAGGACATCCCTTCTAAAAAGCTTTAGGACGTCTCTGGGTACCACACAAAGCTCTTGACCCATATCTTTCACATGAGCCTATAGACAGTGAACCAGCCTACCCGTATGACAAGGTCCTAATGGTCATATGCATGACTTGCTTCTTTGCAGGCGGGGAACACATGGTGAAGAAACAAAGTGGGACCATCGCTTAGAAACTTTCCTGAGAGCTGAACTGGACCACCAGCAGTACCTCAGAGCTGCTGCTCCCCAACAAAACAGTCTAGCCCTAGGGATCCAGAAGTGTCATTTCCTTCAGAACTATCTCACCAGCGTGGCACTACTTTAAATATTATTTCAGGCACATAGTTCAGTAGGTAATTTCAGGGCATGAACTTAGACAGCAGTTGTTAAAATCCAAATGCATGTCTATAAACCCAACATATTAATAAGTTAACAGTTTTCAATAAGACATCAACATTTGCATGCATCTTCCTACTTGTTATGTGCAGTACTACATTTTTTAATGTTTCTTGGATGCTAGCCAGAGAGTCTGGGTCCCTAGTTAGTTCATCTATTACTTTCTTGCCACAATAGATCTGGGTCTTGGCCAAGTACTGGACTCATACTGCATACAAAAACACAGAATTCTCTCCCTTATCTATTGATAGTCTTTGCTTCCCAGGGAAGGAGAAAAAATATCATGAATTAAGATAAATAAGTAAATACATAAAAATCCAGCACTAACTGTAGCAGAGGTATTTTTAGCATCTTTTAACACTATGTGTAATCAAAAGATTTCCATATGTATTTATAGTGCCTTAGTCTCCCCAAGGTCTAATTCATGACTACTCACCTGAACAGGAGAAGAAGATCTCTCTTTTAAACCCCTCGTGGAGCTCCTCAGGCTTTCCACAACAGTGAGCAAGGTTACATGACCTGAAATAAAACAGAGGAGGAGGACGCTTCAGTACCATCCCTCCTTTTTCAGTGTGTCTCAACCTATGGACTATGGAAGGGTTTAGAGAGGCCATTAAGGGTTAGAGGCAGTCTCTGTTTTACATTTGATCTTGAAAGTTTTTATCTGTTACTCAGGGCCTCTGTTGTCTTCAGAGGAAGAGAGATGAACACAGAGGAGATGTTTTTTTGAAGGAGTTTTGAAAATATTGTCCAGCTCTGATGGCAGGGCAATGAAAATTGCCTTTTATTGTGGGTTTAAGGTAGCAAACTAATGCTTAAATTAACAAAGAGTAAGGAAAAAGGAATGAACAATGTAATGATCCTGGCTGTGGATTTACAGTCACTTTAATCAGCCAGAAGTCTCTGCCCTTGGGAGGACTGGTCCTGTCTGCCCACCCAGTCCTGATGGGAACCATTTTTGACCACTTGAAAATGTGCATTTGATCAGAGAACTAATAGGCTAAAACATCATCTGATCCTAAAAATGCTCCCTGATGCTGCTGAGCACATGGAAACACAACACTTCTCAGAGCAGAGCAGGCAGGCATGGGGAGGGGATGGGATGGGATGGGATGGGATGGGATGGGATGGGATGGGATGGGATGGGTGTGCTGTGCCCCTGGGTAACAGTCACATTCATGCTGACCACACAACCACCATGAAACCTGAGCCAAGGACATGGGCAAAACCGAGAGCAGCAGGGGAGACATGTCATCTTCACTCGGGCTGAGGCTACAATCACAACCCAGTCCACGTGGAGTATTTTGCTATCAGTGTAACACTAATCACTGTAGTTCACTGGGTTGACATGTAAAATTTTGCTAATAATACCAAGGTAGCTGACAAGTTAATAGAACACATGATTCCTGTACCTTCTGCTTGAGCTGTGTGAGTATTTTTTCTGCTTAATTTGCCCAAACAAAGCATCAGTGTCTTAATTTCAGTTATTTCAGAAATTAGATCCTCTTGAAGAATGAAAGGATGCTGTGTTTGAGAGGGCTAGCTTTTTTATGAAGACACGTAATTAATGGAAGCCATTAAAGATACTTGTAAAAATGATTCAGATTTTTATATATGATGACTAACTAACCTATTATTGCTCTTCTTGGTCAGAGATTAATGGGAATTTCTTAAAGGATAAAGAATTATTTAACAAGCTGCAGGATATGTATGGGCTTGGAATACACTCTGTGATAGTGTGAATAAGAAGAATGTTGCTGTTTATTTCCTTGACTAATAAACCAAAGCTAAATTCAGAGATAGCAAGATGTCAAAAACACCCAAACCCCCAAACCCAACAAAAATCTAACAAGGCAAGTGGATGTTTTTACATGAATCTAAGCATATATTTTAGCAAAAAAACCCTACTGTTAAGAAATTCAGGTTCTCCTGTGCTCTAATTCAAGGGGATATAGGAACACACCAGCATGATCTCTGAAATGACTGAGAAACAGCAAAGACTTTAAAGAAAGAGTTTAAAATCAGGTGATACTAAATGTTCAACAGGTCCTGGGGAGGAAAATGAGAGAGAGACTGCAAGGCAGAGAGAACAAACCACTTTACTGCTTGCAAGAGCTTCCCATGAAGAAATTTTCTTTACAAAGCAATGACAACAATTGTGGTTGGTCAAAGATTTCCATGCAAGCAATACTGACTTCTAAGACCACAAGTAACAGAGTCACTTGATGATTCCCTTGATGATGGCACACATGGACAGCTTTCATTTTTCCAGCTGTTTCAGATGTAAATGACCTCAGAGTGTCTTGAAGCATCTTGTCCCTACTGGGTTGAAAAGCATGTGCAAAGAGGGACTAGAGCACCTCTAGGCTGACTCTGGCACTAAGGGAAGAGAGCAGATAACGTTTCAGGAGAGAAGGAAATGGAAGGCAAACCAGCCTCTTGGGCAGCTGAAAACACTGTTCGGTTCTTTTCACGAATGATTTGCCAAGTATTTTCTGCAGTAACTGTTCTGAGCAACAAACCACAATGATTCATACACCCAGGTGAAACAGTAATAGTTTCCTCTCTGGCTGAAACACATAAACTTACTATAGCTCTTTTCCAAAATGGATCCCAGTCAAGTTAGGTAGCAACAGTGAGCCTTCTGCAGCTTGACCAATTATTTTAATATCCACTATATCTTCCCCCTCTCAGGGCTCAATGGTTTTTTTCCTTTAACTTTTTGAAGCCACACAAAGAATTGAATAACCTTTTCTCCGCGTACCTGGCTGCAGATACATCACTGAAGGGGGTCCTTTCGACATTTTAAAGGACCTGAAGTGTATGACAACATGACACTGCAGTCAAGAATCTCGCCGGGGAACAGAATAAGAAGATTTATTTTATTTTTAATATTTGAAAGATTTCAAAAAGCATTCAACTGGATTTCTCACTAAGAGGATGAGTGGAGAGAATCCTTTGTAACTAAGCTGGGAGGCCCAAGTCTTTTATCCATTGTTACACAGTTTTTCCCCAGGGCAGAGTTAGGAAGGCCTGCAAGCCCCAGAAGCTTAACAAGGCGAGTACACTGGGTGGGCTTTTCTGCCATTGCTTAAGCTCCTCCCGAGGTAGGAGCCGCCAGAGCCGAGCAGGTCCCGTGCTCCATTGCAGCCACCGACAGAGATTATTTGGGAAGATCCTAGCAGCAGCAGTGCTTTCACAGAGGTGAACCTGCCTGGCCTGTCTGCAAAAGGGCACGCGCGTACACACACACACACCCTCGGTACCGAGACACCCATATGTCTGCTTCCTTACTAAACCAGAAGCAAAATCATTCCACAGAAGATTAGTAGCAAATTGGCACTTGGATTAATCACTGTGCATCGGACTTTGCCAAGCTGCCTTTTCCTGTCAGCTTTTTCAAAATATTATACATGACTGGTTAACTGAAGATACGTTATCTCTTTCAGGATAGATTGTGCAAAAGGAGAAAACTAGTCTTACTGTACTTCTAATACCTTTTTTTTTTTGCCTTTTGAACTTTTTCAATTTTTAAGTGAAAACCCTACAACCTTGCCACAAATGAATTGGTGGGTTTTGATCAAATAGACTTCGGTACACATTCCCTGAGCTTGGTTCACAGCACCGATGGAATCATCCACCTTTCCCACTGATGTCTAACGTGAGAGCTTGCTTGAGTGATTCCCAAGCACCAACAACGTGAGAAGGAGCTCAGGACCTGAGGTGGCATAACCAGGACATGATCTTACCCCACACCCCTCCAAAATCTTCATCTAGAACTTGGCCGATGTAGTTCACTACAAAACCATAAATATGCAAGCTCTCTATTGGTAAAATTTCACTTGGCAGCATTTCATAGAACTTTTGGTTTCCATGAGATTTTCACTATTAATACAGCCATAGAGGCGCATGAACCAGGAGCAGCAAAAGCCCGTTGACTACTTATGTCCATTTGTGCCTCAATCAATGTGTCAGAGTTTACAATTCAAAGTTGCTCTCAAATAAAAGGTGAAATGGAACGGCTTTTAAGTAACTAAGCAACTCTTTCCTGACTTGCTACAAAACTTGTTGGACCCTAATATAGAAGAAATTTTAAAGGCAAATGTCTTATGTATGAGTCCACCGCCCAGAAGCAGGAGAATATGGAGTTTGTAAATAATAACTGCAATACAAGTAATGCCTATTTGCTTACTTGATCCCACTGAAATTAATGGTGTGTGGTTTAGGTATGTGTCAGTGCCATAAAGCAGGATACGCTTGGGGACCAGGAAGTGTCTGCTTCATGTGTTAATGATGGAGTTATGGAGTGGTAGCAGCCATTTCATAGACAAAGTTGCAGAAGGATTTTTACTATATGTTCAACTCTCCCTTTTTATACTCCAACAAAAGCTGAAGAAACTCCTAGGTCAGATCTGGGGCCAAGGTTGAAATTTTTCTACAGACTTTAAAATGATGCCACCCCTGAGAACACACAGCTCACAAGCAGAGCCAGCACTCAGGTGTACTCTCACACAGGGGTAACTCCGGGTATGAACAGGGCAACAAAATTATTGCCCCTCCTCCAAGCCTCTTCTCCACTAAAGCCCCAGCTCTCCTTCTCTAGCCCCACCATTCACAGGGAGATGCCTGAATAACCCAAGAAAAAAATATCCTACTAAGGAGTTATATTTTAATGTTTATGCTATGGCTTTTTGTATAATAGGAATAATCGCTATTGCTTTGTAGTACACTTACAACAAATAGCTTTTGAGATTGCTCAAACACTTTAGCTCCACTTCAGCTCTTAATCAAACTCAGCAGCTGTTTATTGCAATTACACTATAAAGCAATAGACATTATCCCTTAACTAACTGTCTTATTAATATAGGTAGTTACACAGCTATTTCATAGTTACTCTTAAATAACTGCTTTTAATTATTTTATTAACATAAATAACCATCTCAATAAATTTAAATTAAATGCATATGTGAGAAACGTAATTTAAAGCATTGCACAAAATTGCATCTGTTTACTAATGTTTAAACTGATGTCATTGTGTAATTCAATTAAAATGCAACTTTAATTTATTTCAATTCTTGATTGCCATGGAGCACCTAAGACACCAGAACTTCCTAAATATTGAAAAGGGCACTGTCTGGTCTGTCTTCTGTTGTTATATTTTCTTTGCAATATTAGTTTGCTGTCAGGAGAAGGAGATTTCTTTTTACCCACAAAAATAAAAATTTAATATCCTCATTTAGTTTTCTTTTCCTGCCATTCCCAGTCAAAGCAACAGATGAAACTGGATTGCATTTTGCCTTCTAGTTCCCTTGTGCAACCCTGCTTTCAATGGAAAAAAGGATTTTATTTTCCTGTGCAATATGGGATTGTCCATGTCTTATGCCATTTGTTCTGGTAGGATCAAGCTCTTTGCCTACAGCTAAGGGGAAGGCAGACAACTCCTGACCTGGCCAAAAATCTCCTTATTCTTCCTCATGGGCTGCAGTTTATTGTTCAGGGGCCACATTGCACCCAAAAATCCTCCACTGCAGTGGGCAACACTTGAACAGCACCTTTTATCCCACAGCGTCACTAATGAACATTTATCTGCAAAGGGACCATGGCACAGATTAGCACATGTCACCTCTCACTTTGCAGAACAGTCTGCCCATCATACTGGCTTATTCAGATGTTCTTTTCCCCAGAGTCCTTGCTACTGGGGAAGAAACAAAATCTTCTATCCTTATTCTGTTTCAGATTTCTCCCCTGAAAGATAAAGAGGAAAGACCTTGCTGAAGAGCAAGGAGAAAAGGAGAGGGATTCCCTTCACCACTTGTTTGCAATAGACAGGAGAACAGAAGATTTTAGAAAGTTCTGGGAGAAACTTAAGGTGGTGAATGTAAGTCAGGAATGGGGTGAAGATAAGGCTGGAAAACATAAAGGTGCAAAAGGAGATGAAGACACCTCAGATACTTTCCTGCCAGCCATTTTCTTCTGCCACTCAAAACTTTTAGTTCTATATTTAGTTCTATAGCTGGTGCAGGGACCTGTAAATGTGAACTGCTACCTCTCTGAAATCAAATCACAACAAAACTTCCCAAAAGTAACTGGGATGTATTGAAAAAAAGTGTTGAAGTCAGAAACATTTAAAGCAAAACTTCTCTGATGGTCTTGATTTGGGTCTTAGCAGCTTTTAAGCTCCAAAACTATGGAAATCGAGGCATATTTGGCTCTTGGGTATCAATGAATGTCAAAGATGATACAGGAGAACAACAAAGGGAAGAATTTGGTCCGTGATATCCAACCTACTGATGGTGAATTCTGCTAACTAGAAAAGTCCATCCTCTGTCTGCTAATTAAAGGACACAACCTCCCTACAGGGAATCATTAAAGAATGGTGTTTCAATGCACGTGCACACTCTATTTTAGGATGAAGGGTGCCTCAGTGACACCATGCCTATGGAGAAGTGCAATGTAGCTGGAGACAACGAAGATGAAAATTATGATTTATTTATTTTAATACTTCTATCCAAATGTAACAGGTAACATGGAGGGAGAATTACAGGCTCCATCAGAAAGGGGTTGCTGATGCTGTGACCTTAAAAGTTTACAGGCTATGGTGGGCAGACACATGCGATTCATAGGCGACAAGGGGATTTTACAGAAAAATGTAGAAACTAAGAATGAGGGAAGACACGTTTAAACTTCAGGTAACTGAGAGTTATCAGGGTTTGGATAATTGAAGTTCCAATGTATATTTGCCTACACTGTCGCTCACCTTTGAGCCCTACCTAGGCATCTTGACATTTATGTAGTAAGAAATCCTGAAAGCTCTGAGTTTAGACAACTAAATTGTTGCTTGTCAATTTAGTCTTGACTGAAAGGCAGGTGTTTTGTTTCAGAGTAGCACTCCTTTCAGACTCCTCTACTCCCAAGCTCAGATTACTGAGCTAAGGAACTACCATAAATGAAATAACTTAAAAGCAGGCAAAGACATTTACATACCTTGAACAAAGGAATTCTTTGGGCAAAATAGGGATTTTTAATTATTGCTTGGGTTCTTTTGTCATATGGGATTTTCAGCTCTAGCTCTCTGGCGGGAGCTGGAGGAGCTTGGAAGCTTTGAAGGTTCCTACCTTTTTGGTAATGTGGTAGGATCCTTTGCTATTGCTATGCAATTTTATGAGCTTGCTCTGCTGAATGCAAGCTGCTCTCTGAACAAAACCCTGAATAAAAGTCCAGCTCAGAACCTGAACCAGGATTCTCCTAAAATTTAATTCTGGAAACAGGCACACATACAAGCCAGCTACACACACAACAGTCAAATGCCAACAGTGCAAGCAAGGAGTATCTGTTAGCTACCTCATGCCTACATCCTAACTTTACATCTAATTCAAAGTGGGTCATTATTATCAGGCGTTCATTATTATCCCTAGTAAGTGAATGGGATCCTTTCTAATAACAAACAAGTTCTCTCTTGGCACAACTTTGCACAGGCAACTTAAACAGTCCAAGAGCTGCACATGCTGATGGTGCCACTGGGATCCCACAAGTGACTGTGGCTACAGTTTTGTAGTGTTAATGCAATGGAAAGTGAATCAGGGAGCCCAGAAAACAGCTCAGGCAGAACATAACACCATCCGCCTGACCCCAAATTTAGCCTACCTTTGAGATGCTACTGCCTGCAAGCAGCAGATGAGCCCATTACCATGAAGTGCCTCGTTGCAGAAAGCAGCAGCGAGACCTAGAGTGCACTGACCCAGCCCTGCCTACATTCATGTCCTCTGAGAATTCAGATTTTCCTGTTTCTGCACCTCTGTATCTGGGTGCTGGTGCCCATACACTTCTGGTTTCTTGGTGTTGTGGCACAGTGTTTGGGCCTTAATTCTTTTGTTTATGCCACTAAGTGTGTTGAAGGCTACAGAATACAAGTTTCATCACACTGACCTGCCAATAACCTCAGCTCTGACCTGGAGGGATCATGTGTTCTGACACAGGTTAAGGGTCTCATTTAATTTAGAACCTTAAGCTGGATTTGAACTGTAGCCCCAGAAGTAAAAAGCCAGTGTATTTATCCAGGAAGCCACCTGCCTCTGGTTTCCTGATTGGTACTTGTGACATCCCAGTATTGGCAAACCACAGAGATATTAACTGTGTGCTCTATTTTCTGCCCTTAATTATGGCCAGCTAGTCTGAATTTTTTTTTTTTTTTTTTTTTTGAAGGATTTGAGTGACAAAGTGACTATGCATATCATTCCACATTTGAACTGTAAGACTTCAGTATTTCTACCTTTAGTGTGTAATTGGATCAGCTGCCAGTTACAGAAAGGAGCTGGGTGAGTATTAAGTGTGTGGAAAATGAAGAAGAGTCCAAGTGTGAAGGGGAGGAATAATTTGACAAAGCCTGCAGTGAGCCGTACGTGGTTCGTCTCGTTCCAAAATGGAGTAGGTTTTGAAGTGCTTGAGAAAAAACTGGCTTTGATTTACTAGCTTTGGTTCACAGAATGCTAGCCACAATCTTGGAGTGACTCAAGGCATACGGAAAGCCACAGTCCCTGCCCCAAGGAGTTTACAATACCAACATTACCATAATGAGGCTGGCTGAGAGCCAAACTGAAAAAAAGTCTGCTTTTATCTGACTTGCTAAAGCTGTGCCTTGAACCTTGGGCAGCACACAAATCTACTGCCAGGGGCTTGGCACTGTAGCAGGATTGAGTCTTAGTGTGTTCATGATATGGTGGTCCTCAAACCATTGCACCCAATGCTCTTTCCTAAGTCCCCTCTGTAGCACTTGCTTACTTTAATTTTGAGTTCCTCAAAGAAAGCAACGAAGCTTATGTGAGCATGAAACATTTTAAAATCTACTACAAAAATCTAAAGTAAATCTCAGCCCTTTAAAAAAGTGAGAAATAAATGAGGGCTGTGCCCAGTCACAAAGTGAGTGTTTCTCTCAGGACAAGCTAATCGCGTTGCCTCTAAATCCCTCCATTAAACGCAGTTATGGCAGGATCATACAGACAAAAAAGACAGTTCTTTATCCAGTAAGTGTTCAACCATTTATACCTTTATAAAATGCAAGTAAATTCCCTCAGATATTAATAGGCAGTTTGTAGGTTTCCGGTCAAACACTATTGGTAGGACTGAAGAGCTAGATACTGAGTGGGTAGTCAGAATATCCTGCACTTTATATTTCAAAGTAGCTCTAAGATGCAACTCAGAACAACAATCTGATCATAAGGTGACAAATGTAGGGGGTAAGGAAAGAGGACTGTAGCCCAAAATCAAAGAAAAAGGCCACAACATCCAGAGCAGCTCATGGAAGAAGAAGAAATGGCAATTACCTGGAAACTCACAGGCAGTTGTCCCTCAGCTGTAGAAATCCACCATAAAATCCACCATCCTGATCTGTAAGAAATAGGCAAGAAACATTCATTAGTGGTGCAAACAAACATAGAGTATTACAAATACATCAGGTGGACTGACTGCCCAGTGGCAGTCACATAGCATTGCCAAGAAGACAGAGAGAGCAAAGAACAACTGAGCTTTGCTATCTCCCAGCTCTAGGTTGCTTTAAGCTACATTTGGTGGTTTACTACCCATAGGACCCATTTGATATTCTGGGATTTGGAAATTCTGCTATGCCTTCAATAGCAGCCACTAATTGAGAGAACCAATGTCCAAAAGGGCCCCTGGGTTATGGCCATAGAATGATATCCTTTCTCACTGATATAAAAGCACTGCAGACAACTCTATCAGATAAAAACACAACAAAAACCAACTCAAAATCATTTCTGACTCTCCAAGGGGGGTAGGGCATGAAGACAGAATGCCCTACCTCAAAGGAAGTCACGATTGGATCAGAACATCTCAGAGAGACAGAAAGAGAGAGATGGCAAAAGGCAGTAGTGTAAAGGTTTTATCAGCAAGAGTTTGGGATGCCCACATTACTCATAGGTCACTGCGCTTTCTAGCTGACTAGCGACAGATGAAATAAGGAAGACAAGGGCCTCTGGATTTCCAGGTAGCAGCTCCAACCAAGTCTGCCTTTTCAGCTGTCCTTTTAGTCCGGAATACGTATGGTGCTGCTCAGAAAGGGGCTGACTTCGTATGCAAAAGGGAAAATCTGTGAGATCTCACTATCACCAAGCAAGCTCTAGAAGAATATCAAGATAATATTTGTGTTGTTAGAGGGAGGAAAACCTCAAATGCAAGGCAATTGGTTTTGCTGGCAATTTGCATACTTGCAGTATTTCCTAATATTGAACCAGAACAAGTAAGCACTTCAGAGATCCTTGTGGATCTCAGCCCATCTCCAGCAGGAAGGCACAAGGAGTGGGTTATCCTGATGTGAATCCATAACCATTATGGCAGAGAACAGGTGTAGTTCTTCATGTCTCATAGCAGCAGCCACAATACTGATTGTCTTATATAATAAAGACATTACAAATATCATTTATGTATACTGAAATGATGCCATTCTGCCAGATGCCAAGACTTTACCACGGACTGCTCACATTTTTCAGAAGGTATCATCTAATCACACATGATTAGATGCACAGAGATCCCGACAGCTGAGTGGAAAATAATATTGCCATTCCTGACATTTCTCAAATTAGCAAGAGCTTATAATGAAGCTTTTGTAAGACGTCTCTTTCAAGGATTTGTTGGATACATCTCTTGCTGGGAATGGATGCACACAGGGTAGCTGCCCTCCTGCTCTGTGCTTAATTCTCTCACCTCATTCTACGTTGCTTGTTTCCTGCACTCAGAGATGTCCTACTTGTGTTTGAACTCTCTGAATACTCTCTTCAGCTACACACAAGGAGCTGGAGGCCTCGGTAACCTTCTACCCCAGTAGTTCTTTTCCTGCAGTCAGGAAATTATCTCCCTTTTTTTTGGTTTGGGTTTTTTTGGGGGGCAGGGAGGTTGGTTGGTTGTTTTTTTCATTTTTTTTTTAATTGCAAAGAACTAGGGGAATTCCCCCTTCTGGGCACTGATGGCAGTGATTGATGACAGGAGCAAAAAACCCAACAACCCACACCACTCACAAACAAAAGTGTGTCATTTTGCATAGGGTTTTACATCAATATTTTGATAATTTCAGCAACTACACATTCATATTGATATCGAGATATCTAGAAAACAATGTATGCTTCAAATAACTTCAGTAAGCATCACAATATGCCTGTGTGAATGCTTGTACATTTTTCCATGAAGAACTCAAATTGGGTAAAACCTTCACACTCAATTTTCAACTGATACAAATCCACAAAGATAATGTCATTAGTGGTATGCCTGCAAAATACCTTGTCCTAAAATATCTTGGCCCCTCTGTCTCCTTCATTCGAGCAGAGGGAATAGGTACCAGTAGGGGAAGGTGTCACGTTTGTTCATCCAACTCTTCACATAAAGAGCAGGAGGCTATAGCTGTCTTCTGCCTCAGCAGGTTTTCTTTTTCCTTCATTCAGGAAATTGCCTTTCTCTTTTCTTAATGTAAACAAGAAGGGAATTTCCCCTTTTGTTGTCCAGCTTTGAGAGAGGAGCCTGATTTGTGTTTTTAGCTAAAAATCCCCCAAAAGTCATCAGAGGGTTCCCTGACTTCAGTGAGGCAGACCTAGCTGAACAGGGATGTTTCTGCTGTTTGCCAACAACCTTCCTTGCCCAGCACTGTATTGCTGGGGGTGTTTGGGCAGCACAAGCCACTTGGGCCACCCTGCCACAGCACCCTGGCACTCTCTGAGCAGTGCTTGTGTCATCATGCTGTTTACAGAGTGTGACAGACCAGAGGAGAGACCATAGGAAGGGAACTGGGCCAGGCCCAGCGGCACTGAGAAAGCATCACCAGAGGTACCGGTCACTGCAGGGCAGAGGGAAGCAGAGCTGAGCACTGCAGACAGGGATTAGAGAGAAAAACTAAGTGGCACCTCTAATATGTTTTGCCAGGATACAGGAGGAAGAAAAGAAGCGTGAGACAGACAAACAAGAGGTAAAACTGGTTTAGGAAAGAAGGGAGAAAATGCACGGAAAGTATTATAACAAAGGAACCCTCATCAGTAGCAACAACTCAAGGAGAAAAGAGGACTGACGGATAGCTGTGCTAGCATGAGTGAGGAAGGACAAACCAAACCTTTTCAATGCATTAAAAAAGAAAACCAAAATGCATTTAAAACACCTAGAAAGGGAAAACATAACAAAACAAAAAAAGAGCCAGAAGACAAACAGAGAGAGGGGATTTCTATGAGCACAAAAGCAGAGTTCAGTATCCTGTGGTCATTCCCTAAGAAAGAAGGAAGCAAAAGCGAAGGAAAATACCTAAACATAAAAGACTACCTATAAACAAATGAGACATTGACTACTACTCTACGATTTTTTTGGAAATTTTGCTATTAGCATATCTCCAATGATAAATGCCATAATATCGCGCGAGCTTTGTGTGAGCAGAAATGCACAAATGCAGCAAATCAGGTCTGCCAGGCAGACGGTGAAGTAACACTCATTCCCCCTGCTACATGGCACAGCTTTGGTCCCTGCACATCCCCTCACCAGCATACACCCTTAGAGGAGGCACACAGCAGGGCAGCAGAGTAGAAGGATTTTAGCAATACAGAGGATGAGCACACAAACACAGAGCTACATTGGGAGCCTAGAGCTTAATTCAAACCGTAATTACACAGGTTGATTTCTGACCAAGGCCCCGCAGTTCACATCCTGCCCTAGTTACTTTTTTTTTTTAATCGCTTGGAAACCAGTTTGTCTAGGCAGAGAAAATACTTTTGGATCATTCTTGCCAAGACCATCAAAACTGAAAATTGCCAAGAGTCTCCTCCGAATGGCAGTGACATCCATAAAAAGACTGGATAGGTAAGAACATGTTCAGGAGCTGTTTGGTCTATGCTGAGCCTGAGCTGGTGCCCTGTCACGATGGTAACCTCACACCATTCATTAATTCCACTAAACTCAAGCTAATGTCCCAAATCGCCTCCAGGGTGCCTTGGCAGACAGCTCCAAGTTCACCTCTCCATGGGGGGAGGAGCACCTGAGCCACCCCACAGACTTGAAGGCTGAAACAGGAGCCACAGGAGGGATGTGCAGGCCCAACGCTGGGCAGGGATGGCTCTGGGGAGGAAGGGTGGATGGGAAGAACTGAGCAAAGACTAAAGCCAGGCATCATTCTGCAGACATCACTCAGGCCTCTTCTCTAGCTCCACTGGGGTGGAGCAGATGCCCTACTCCGTGGGAGGGAGGTAATTCCAGACTAGAGGCTGAAGCCAAGACAATTTTTGTTTGTAACCCCATATTTTGAATGACAGAAGGAACCATTTTCAATGCTGGCATAGATTTAAAAGTAAAGATGTATGTGTGGCCCTCAAAATTTACGCAGAAGTTTGATGGGGTTAAAAGTTGTGCCCACTGACATGTTTTCAAGCAAAGAAATACCAGGTGGAAACGTTAGGCATTATACTGTATATGGCCAAAATGCTGTCCTGACTTCCATCCCATCAGTGGGGTTATATGATTAAAATTAATCATTTCAAATACAATATTCTGCCTATTGATCAGGGCCCTATTCTGGAAAGGATAGACTCAGACTGACACTGAAAGTTGATTTTGCAATGTATATATGTACATTCACTTGCAGCAAAAGAGTCAGATATATAGGTCCTTCGTTTATCAGTAAAATCCAGTTACCTTCTGTGGTATGGCACTAACATAAGTGAGGTCACAGTCTGGCCCCAAATCCTCAGTTCCACAAATTCCCATATTGTGCTGCTACAAAGACGAGGCTGCTTCAGAGGCTGAGCAGATAGTGCCGAGAACCTGCAGTCTTTGCTCAGACTTCAACGCACTGACTGTAATAAAAATATTACCTTAATTCATGACAGCATCTGCTTTTGCACCCATCTTACTTGCCAAAATAAATGCTTTCTATTTCTTTTTTTTTCTTTTTTTTTTTTCTTTTCTTTTTCTGGGCATGGAAAAGAAGATGCATATTAATGTTTTAAATAGGAAAAAAAAATGCACATCCTCTTTTTCTGAAACAGACAACTTAGAAACACAGAACAGCCTTTTTTTGTTCCCTCTACCAACCCGTGTTCTGTACACCACCCCAGTTCTACACTTGCTTTAAGATTAATTGTCAATCTGAAGACTGACTGTGCTATCCTTAAGGCCAGACATTCTTTGGATTTGGTTATTATATTAAGGTGCATTTGTGCTTCTAAATGGGCAGCTGTACTGAAAATGGAACACAAAGGAGTAAAATTCAGCCTGTTCCAGCGTGGGTCCAAAGCCCAGAGTGTCTGTGATGCTGTATTCTTTTGTTTCAAATGCAGATAGATAAACTACAGCCTTTTTTCCATGACGGTTATAATGCAGAATATGAAAAACTCTTGGGATGGTTTAAG